GGCCCCCCCCCCCCCCCCCCCCCCCACACACACACAGGCTCGTCTACTCTGACCACAGACTGTCTGCATCTGGAATGGGGTTTGGAACTTACAAAAGGGCTGTGAGAATGATATAATGTGCGAAGGTAAAATGCAGCGAAAATGATGAGGCGTTAAGGCAAACCGGCGGTGCCATTAAGCCGAGGAATCCATCAGCGGAATATTCCAGTCCCTGTCCGCTCGGGAAACTTTACCATGCAAGTCATCATCACATTCTATAAATAAGGCGATGGCATGGATGGGGAACGCGTCCAGCTCTTTTCGCAAAGGGTTCCAAGTCGGGTCGGCCCGCGAATGCCTTACCGCACAGACCTTTCTTAGACAGCCTGATCATCGCATCCAGCGCTATTCTGCCCATTGCCTACGACCTCCATCATTCCCATCACGTGCGTCCTGCGTCCACCCAAGAAGCGAGACAGTGGACCGCCGATCGGTATGGGATCTGTGTTGAACAAGGCCTCCAGCACCTCGTCCAATTCCACCGTCGGTGAAACATTCACTTGAAAATTCAACGCTTTTACAATTCCCTTTTAACTCTGCAATTCTCCAAGTGAAGGGAGAAAGGTATTTCCAGTTAGAAATGATTTCATTTCCTCCCATTTCATTTACTAAGCATAGCTGACGAAGGAGCGCATTATTTCGGCATGATGTCCAGCATTCTAGAAATAGGCTATCGCAAGCTAAGAAATTTAAATGTGCCTGTGCAAGCATTCATGCACCAGTGCCCACGTTACCGACCGTTTCCTTCCCGCCTAAGACCAGCTCGGTTCGACTTCGAAACGATGCAAGAATGAATGAGGTTCGGCATCCGAGCGAAAAAGTGGAACCGCATTAAAAATCCTTTCCGGCGGGTCGCTCGACCGCAGCGCGAGGAACGAGGTCGTAGACGACCGCTTTCTCCTATCGGCTGGAGCCGTTGGGGCACCCGGCCCGTGGAACCGTCGCGAAATATAGAGCAATTTAAAGAGCTCTCGTGTAACCGTCTATATCTTCCCGATTCCGTTTCCTCGTCGCGTGAGAAGAGATGGAAAAATATTTACTTTCTGCCCGTTCGGAGCTACTAAGCTCCTTTTTTTTACGTACGTTTGTATCATTAAAAATATTTTATATTTAAATTCATAATAAAATGAAAGAAAAATTTAGCGCAATACAACTTTCATAATCCAAGCATATCATGAAAGTTGCTGAGTGAAATTCGTATTTCATGAGAGCCATTTCAGCGCGGTCCGTATCGGATGCGACCCCCTTGCTCGGAAAGTCGCCATACCACCGGTCCCGATTCTCAAGCACGCTTTACGAGAATCTCGCGAGATCCACCGTTGTTTAAGTACCGTCGTCAGAACGAGGAGGAACGGTTCTTACGATAAATCTATGACACAAAATGGAAAATTTAAATCGCTAGCACCTACCGAGACGAGAATACAACGTAATTGCCCGGAAGTACTCATCGGAACTACTGATATTCCTTTCGCTCATGATTCTTCTCATCGGTTCAGACGAGGTGAATTACGACGAGGTGAGGGAAAAGCTGTCCAAGAGGGAAATCCAGCTGTTGGACTGGCGGAATCGACCGGAAATCAGGAACGCCGGAATGGTCCCCGGAAGTTGCAAAGTCCCCCGTGAGCGTTTCTACTATTTTTTTCTCCATCTCTTCCATAAAGGACTGAAGGTCGGCGAAGAAAAGACACAGAGAGGTGAAACGATGAAAAGCTTCCAAAGAAATGTAATAAATTGACTTACCTCAAATAATCTACCCTCAAGCTAGAGGAAACGCGTCTCGCCATTCGTAACCATTGGGTATTGAAATTACGAACGCGCTCGAACGAAGAGAAACGTTGCGCTTGTTGCTCATGTTGCGCTTGCCATCCTGCAATTTTTATCTGGATGGGCTTCTTCGCTCGCATTGCAGTTTCGGAGGTGGGAGAAGTATTCAGGATGGACTCGGAATCCTTCGAGAAGAAATACGGATGCTGGACCGGATCCGGAGGAGGAGAACGTGGTGATGATGTGCGGAACCGGGCGGAGGGTGAAACTGGTCATCGACGCGCTCCGACCACTCGGATATCACCGGCTCAAGTCAGACCGATTGCCGA